GTCCCATCTCTGACTGCCTCTTTTGCCCAGGCATGTATGCTAGAGTGACAATGCATGGGGACCTCTCAGATCACTTAATGGGGCCTGTGTTTTTACAGAGGCATGTTACTGAGAAATGCTGTCCTGATTCAAAAGTGCCAAATTAGATCTTGTTCAACATGGACATAGGCCTGACAGGACCTCAATAACTGTTGAGCTGCAAATGAATATGCTTTTCTTCCCACTAGAGGGTTGTGGTGAGAAGCCTGAGGAGAGGAGGGAAGAAGAGGGACTGGACTGGTGGCAGAATCTCCAAAGACTTAAGATATCAGGAGAGAGGGGATTCCCAGAGAAGGAGAAACCCAAACAGACAATTGGAACTGCCTATGATTCTCCTAGGACACGCTCTAAAGCCTGACTGTGGGCCTCCTGGCTTATTTTGTTTGGGCCAGCAAGGTACTCTAAAAGAAACTAAATTGTATTTTGCCGCTTTTCATTTCAACTTCGAAGCCTAGTCCAATGGGGATTTATTTTCTTGATTTTCTCTATTCACACTCCAAAGGAGGAGCTAAACCTCTGTATGCGGAATCAGCAATTTCTAGAGGAAAGGATTGCTTTGTTCCCCAGACTATAGAAGGCTCAAGGATCCAGGCTTGATTTCATCCATATGGTCCTAAATTGTTATTTATTTATTTATTTTTTTAGTGGAGCCGATCTTGTTCGTCTTTCACATGCCTACCTATGGAAAGGCTGATTCTAGCAGATGGTAGCATGCAAATTCAAAAGGACTATACCTTTAACAATAAAAGAATGGTTTAGCTATTTAACTCCTATATCATGCTTTGGTTTAACAGCACTGCAATATTCCTGTTTATTCCCCTTTTCTAATTTAAAATAAAACCCACAGAACCTTTAAAAGTTGGTAATTGCAAGTATTACATTCATGATCGCAGAATCTTTCTGATACACTTGTCTGGACTGAATGAATGTTTGGAAGGTCGCAGTACAGAAGGAAAGTAATGATTCATTTATAAAAATAAATGTTTGCAATAATTTTGGTACTGTTCCATGTGTTAGGCAGCACCACATGTCATGCAATTCACTGATTCAATATTCTTGAGCTTTGGGATAGATCTCTTTATTTTATATTAGTGTCGTCCATTTTATAGAAACATTATCTATTTGTTCCTAAGTAATTACATAATTTCACTTATTTTGGGCAAAGATAAAAATTAGGGACAAATTAAAAAATAAATAAAATGGAAACGTTACTCTAGATAAGATAATGTATATGATTGTAAAATGGAAGTATTTTCAGTCTTCTAATACACGATGCTCTGCTTCAGTCCTTGCCCTTTACACATTCCATGAGAACCTCAACTGGCTATTTTATTGACAAAATCTCCTGTGAATCTGCACAGTCGTACTAATTCACCTGGTGGTATTAATTCATCTTCTAACCCTTTTGGTCATCAATTTGTACCAAGCTTCATATCCATCCATCAATAAAACTATTTTTGTCTCCATAGACATTCAATCAAGGCAGTGCAGAATGGCTTCAAATCTGAAACATGCGCAAGGGCAAATTCACTTTTAACAAATGTATATTCAAAAATTTAAAAAGCTGGACAAATTGCTCCTGGCAAGTCCAGACTCCCTCAAAGCAAAGAGAGCATAAACATGGCACGGAGCAGCACTAAGTCATTCATACTAAAGCTCACAAACTAACTGGACTGTATTGAATTGAACCAAGTAACAAATTAGAAATATGGAGGGTATACTGGCCTCACGATTTTTATTCCTTCTAACTCCAGGCACCATAGAGAGAGAAATGACTAAATCTCTATTTTAATAGCTGCTGTCAAGAGTTTTGCTCTGCAGGGCCTATTTCAGCAGTTCCTGGTGGTAATATATGGCATTTCCCTGATTAATGGCTATTTTATAACAAGTGTAATTGGCCACAAATCAGAGGAATGTCATAATGTAGCAAGAAAACATTCCCATCTCCGTCAGAGCTTGGCTTGGATTTCTGGAGGAATTATTACTTGGGTAGTTTGTGGGTTTTCATTACTTTAAATAATGTACTATGCAAAGTACAAAAAAAAAGACATTTAAACTAATGAACATCTCTATCCCCTAACCCTTTCTACCATGCCTATCCTTAGATTTCTTTTTCCCTGGGAAAAAAATTCCCTAAAAGTAGAATCCTTTCTTCATTATTATAATACCAGTGTTTGGGAAAATAGAGGTAAAGGCAGGGCTGGGAGTAGGATAAGGTGACTGAGGCATTCACCTCAGGTATGAAATTTAAAGGAGCATGAGAAATCACAAAAAAAAGAGATAAAATATTTTAATGCAATATTTAAAAAAATAAAAATTAATTCAAAAATATCAATGATGAAAATATTAAATATTAAAAAATTTAAATAAAAACAGGATCTGACTCTGCACTTGCATAATTCATCTCATTCACCTTACCCTGGTCCCAGCTCTGGGCAGGGGTATTGGACAGGAAGGAGTGACCACAAAGTAACGAATGAGATCAACTAAACTTGTGCAATAGCAAAACAGGTCTTGATTCTTTATAGTTACTCTTCAGGTTGTAGTAAGAACAATCACTTGCACAGAATTATGTATATTGAGAACCTTATTTCACCTGTGATACATAGTCCAAAGCATTTTACTAACAATGTGTCATCTATAATGGAGGCAGACCTTGTAATTCCATAGCAGCCTCTATTGGAGACCAAAGAGTATTAGTATAAAGCATGACAAATAAAAGTTATTATAAAACCTTTTCTGTTTCTAAGGTTAGTAAAGGCTGACACCACTCTTACTTTTTTAAAAAAAAATATGCTTATTTCCTGATTTGAGCAGTCATTGGGATTATACACTAGAAATACAAAGTTAAAAAAGAAGACCTTTGTGTATGTCTTCAAGAAGATGGAATTTAAGTCCATGGTTACAGTGGTTTGACAAGCCTTTAAGAAAGGTATACACAAAGAATGGGCATATAATACAAATGGGGTGTTAGGTTTCCTGGAGAAGAGGACATCTGAGATAAAACTTGAAGATCTGGGAGAAGGTAGTTAGATGAAAAAGAAAGAAGGATGACAAGGCATTCCAAAGAGAAGGATTAACACTGTGAAACATGGAGGCTTGGAATGGTAGCATGTTTCAGAAGGTCCAGGTGTTCCCTCTCCTGGGTATAGGAGGTGTGACAATTAAGTTTGTGAACTTGTTGCAATGATGTTGTTAACCTTTTTTGATATCAGAGGGATAATTCATTAAGAATTTGTACCAACTAGACAAACAGTTAACCAAGTTTACTATTTGGAAGTGCTGAAAAGGCTGCATGAAAAAGTTAGACAATAACGACCTGAACTTTTCGCCAACAATTCAGGGCTCTTGCATCATGACAAAGCACCAGCTCACACAGCATTATCTGTGAGGGAGCTTTTAGCTAGTAAACAAATAGCTGTATTGGAACACCCTCCTTACTCACCTGTTCTGGCCCCCAATGACTTTTTTCTTTTCCTGAAGATAAAAGAAATATTGAAAGGAAGACATTTTGGTGACATTCAGGACATCAGGAGTAATACGAGGACAGTTCTGATGGCCATTCCAAAAAAAGAGTTCCAAAATTGCTTTGAAGGGTGGACTCAGTGCTGGCATCAGTGCATAGCCTCCCCAGGGGAGTACTTCGAAGGTGACTGTACTGATATTCAGCAATGAGGTATGTAGCATTTTTTGTATAATGTGTTCGCGAACTTAATTGTCTGACCACCAGGTCCCAAAAATCTGAAAATATTTATCCTTAAAGATATATGTGCTCTATTGTTCATTGCAGCTTTATTTATGGTGGCCAAGACAGAAACAATCAAAGTGTCCGATAGATGATTAGATAAAGAAGATGTGATATATACATACAATGGAACACTATTCTGCCATAAGAAAAGCTGAAATAGTGCCATTTGTGACAACATAGATGGATCTTGACATTATCATGCTAAGTGAAATAAATCAGACAGAAAAAGTTGAGAGCCATAAGATTTCACTGATATGTGGGATATAAAACTGAAAGTAACAAAGGAACAAGACAAACAAATGAAGAAACAAAAATTCATAAACATAGCAATAGTTTAGTGGTTACCAGAGGGTAAGGGGAGAGGGGGGGTGGTAGAAGAGGGTAAAAGAGATCAAATATATGATGATGGAAGGAGAACTGACTCTGGATGGTGAACAAATAATGTGATATATAGATGATGTATTACAGAATTGTACACTTAAAACCTATGTCATTTTACTAACCATTGTCACCCCAATAAAGTTTAATTGAAAAAAAAAAGAAGGGCCATGAATATTTTAGTAAGGTTGGGGAGGTGGATGCAAGCTAGAAAATGAGTCTGGAGAGAGAAAGAGGAGGCAACTCAAATGAGAAACAGCGGGTATTTAAATGAAATAATAAATATAATAACTTTTCTAGAGAGTAGCTTTATTGAATAAAACATTTTTAATGCAAAACACATAATATATCCAGGTAGATGTTTTATGCACTTTGATCCTTGAATTAGGAATAAAATACATGAAAAATGTATTTAAAAGGTGTGCAAAGTTTTCAGAAATATGACCCACTAACAAAATTGAAAGTTTCACAAGGACATTTATGCTGCATTTGCCTGATTCATTCCTTTGTGACTATCATTTCCAAAAGCAGAAGAAAGTGGGGTTTGATGTGCTTAAAAATGTATCATATTTTAAAAGTGACTAAACTTTAGATACAGGTGAAAAGATGCTACAGAAATGAGGTTTAAGATTATAAAATGTTACCCAATGCAAAATAAGAGTGAAGATAAAAAACTGTAAAACTGGTAAACAGTTTACTTGTGTTAAATCCAGATAATAAAAATAATCATAAAAATCATGCTGAAACAATTATACTTTTCCAACTGTGTGATAAAATATCCTACCAACTACAACTACGATTAACCTGAAAATAATAATAAAGAGAGGTCACTAACCTTTTACATCGTTTGCTAACTTCTTGGCTTCGTTAAGAATCCCAAAGCTTTTCTGAAGAGAGCCTTTGGCACCTTCCTTTAATAAACCCTGAGGACCTGTCGCCTGTGGACAGAAAGATAAGTGTCACACATCTACAACCATGGAATTAGGGAGTAGAGGTACCTAGCAAGTAGTTGTTATACAGTTTACTTTCAGAAAAGCATTCTGGGCTACAGATTTAGAATGATAAATTATCAGCACATATTGGTGATTAAAGTCAGGAGACTGTTTTTTGGGAGAAGGGAGGGCCTAGAAAGAGAACTCTTAGCTAAAATTCCCAAAATTTAAGGGGCAGGTATAGATAGTGGAGTTGGTAGGATAACTGAGATTCCAGAGAAGACAAAGAAACCAGGGGAGTGTAACATTATGGAAATGAAGAGATAAAGAAGTGGCTCAAAGCATGATGACTGGCAATGTTGCAAGGACGTATCTGGTCAATATTATCAAGTGGGGAGGAATGGTCAAGCAAATTAAGATCTTAACACATCTGCTGACGTGATCCCTAAGCTCACTTCACTTGGGTAAGCGAGAGAGTGTTTTCTGTCCCCTAGGTGTTAAAATGAGAAAGAACACTGGATCCCTTTTCTAAAGGCATCTCAAAGTACTATGTCAAAACAATATCTTCTGAAGGACAATCTCTGAGCCACAGTCATTTCCTAGCAAAGCGTATTTATGTTGAGGATTGGATTAAAAGAGGTGACACAAAGATAACAGAATGATTTGGGAAAAGAATCATTTAACTTGAATATCTAGTTGACCATTCTAACAGTGTTTGCTCCTCAGCAATCATTAAATAATACACTTCTATACTAAGAGATAAATCGAATAGGATCTTATGGGTAAATTTTAAATTGGAAAAATATTTCAGGGTTCAACAAGACCTAGAGAATGCTAAACACTTACTGCTGGAGTTATAAATGTGAACTCAGGTTCTCCCAGACATAACAGTCTTCAAAGACATTTGCAGTGCCTTAATAACATTTTTTACCAGTCACACTGAGCTTTAAACTAAGAAAGATTACAGAACTTGCTACTGTTGTAGCAAAATTTATTTTAAGGGGTTATACCAACAGCTTTCATTTAAATAATCTATTGCTCACAAACTGATTATATAATACTATGATATTGACAAATGGACATATTGGAAATGTCTACATAAATAAAAAGTGACATTGTGCATACATACCTAGCATTTGGAAAAAGCTGACAACCCTGGCAAATTATTCTATGGAAAATGGATAGTCTCTTCAACTTAAAACACAGAAATTCTTAGTTCTGCAATTTCCCTTGGGAATTAGATAAATAACATCACATAAGTGTCATTTATTTTGAAAAATAAAGGTTAGAGTGTCAGTATAATAAATGGCACAAATCCAATGTACCTTACTTAAAAAAAATAAGCCTCGATAACCCACTCAGGTTTTAATTTTGTTCCAAATTTGTATGGCATTCTTACTCCCTTGGTTACATGTTTTCTGAATCAAGACAAATTAGTAAAAGGATATTACAAAGAAAGAAGGACAAAGATTCTCTAAATAGACAGTTGAAAACAGCAGAAGTGACGACAGCTGACAATCTGTGTGACGAGAAAATAGAAAACTAACGAGTAGAGAGAAGAGTTTTTAAAGTTTAGGATTTAGAGTCAGTTTGGATAGGAATAAAATAGGTTCCTATAGATGCCAATATTATGACAGTAAAATAATTAATTGTTAGAGAGAGAGAGAGAGAGAGAAAGAGAATGAGAGAGAGAACAAGGAAGAAAGCTTTCCTTACAGCCTTGAGGTGTGAATGCAAGAACATAATCTGGCAAGCATTTACCAATCAAAATTTTAAAGCTGTTCTTGGATCTGCATGCGGAAAAGGAGGGAAAGAGAGTTAATTTGCTGTGCATAAGAAAACTAATGCCATGGGGTGAGAGAGAAAAGAGGGAGAAGTGCCAGACAGCATGGACAGAGGTTGAAGTCTGAGCTGCAGAAATTGTTAAGGAACTATGAACAATGATGACCAATATCCATTTTTATCCTGTTTTTGTTTTTTTTTACACTTTTCAATGGCTTTATTGATGCCTAAATTCACATATTTAAAATTTACAATTGATAAATTTTGACATATACACACCCATGAAACCATCACCTCGATTAAGGTAGAGAACATATCCATCATTTCTTTCTAATTTCTCCCTCCTACCTCTCCTTGTCTTCTCCCCAGCCCCGCACAAACACTTATCTGCATTCTATCACTATTAGATTGTAGTTTATAGGGTTTTATATCATTGGAATCATCCAGTATGCACTCTTCTTTGCCTGGCTTTTTTCATTCAGCATAATTATTTTGATGTTTATCCATGTTGCGTGTGTGCTGATATGTGATTTCTTTTGCTGACGGGAAGGAAAAATGGGGAGTTCAATGGGTATAGAGTTTCAATTTTGAAAGATGAAAGTATGGATATCTGTTGCACAAAAATGTGCATATAACTAACATTACTGTACTGCACACTTAAAAATGGTAAAGATGACAAATTTTATGTTATGTGTCTTTTTTGCCACAATAAAAAGGGCACTTGAAACCCCTGCCCCCTGCCAAACATATATGATCTCTTTTTTATTTTTATGGATATGCCCCAATCTATTTATTCATTCACCTCTTGATGGACATTTGGGCTATTTCTAACTTTGGGTATTCTAAATGGTGTTGCTATAAACAGTTTTGTACAAACCTTTGTATGAACATTTGCCTTCATTTCTCTCAGACTGAAAACCTACCTACAGGTGGAGTCGCTAGATGATATGAAAGGTATATGTTTAAGTTTTTAAGAAAGTACCAACCTGTTTTACAAATTATTTGTACTATTTTAAAGTTCTACCAGCATTTATAAGTTAATTTGCCTATATCCTTGCCAATACTTGATATAGTCAGTCTTTTTACATTTTAGACATTTAAATAAGTATGTACATTATTTTGATTTTAATTTTCATGTCCCTTGTGACTAATAATGTTGAGCACATTTTCACATGCTTATTTGCTATCTTCTTTTGCAAAGCATCTGTTTAAATCTTTTGTCGAACTTTTTATTGGGTTATTTGGTCTTATCGAGTTTTGAAAGATATTTATGCATAATCTGGACACAAATCTTTTACCAGACATGCAATTTGCAAATATATTCTGATAGTTTGTGGTTTGTCTTAATAAATGGTTGGGTTTGATTTGTTATAACTTTGTCAAGAAATTTTGCATCTATGTTCATGAGGGATATTGATCTGTAAATCCCTTTTTTTTTTTTTTTGGTAATGTCTTTGGTTTGTTTCAGAGTGAAACTGTCTTCATAGAATGAAGTGGGACTATTTTCTCCTCTTCAGTTCTCTGAAGAAATTATTACTTCTTCCTTAAATATTTGGTAGAATTCAATAGTGAAGTCACCTGGAACTGAGAGAGAGAGAGACAGACAGACAGAGAGAGAAATAGAGAGAGGGAGTGTGTGTGTGTGTGTGTGTGTGTGTATGAGGAATTTTAAATACAAATTCAATTCTCTAATACAGGATTATTCAAGTTATTTACTTGTAAGTGAATTATTGTAGTTTGTAATTTTCAAAGAAATTGTTCATTTCATTCAAACTCTTAAATTTTGGGCATAAAGTTGGTTATAATATTCTCTTATTAGTCTTAACTTAATCTGTGGAAGTTGTAGTGGTTTCACCTTTTTTATCCTTGATATTAGATATTGGTAATCTTTCTAAATTTTTTTCTGATTAGTCTGACTAGACGATTAACAACTTATTCATCTTCCATTGGACCCTTGCCCCTTCATCCAGCAACATGTCTGAGCTCTGACTGAAATCCACCTGCTAATAGACTTCCATACTACTAAATTCCTATCTTCTTGCATTTATGTATATCGCCAGTCTTTTGTTTCCAGGAATCTTGTCTTTTTTGCTTTTCAGGAAGCCAGTGATTTCTTCCTGGACCCTTAGTCAACCACTATCTGATCAGATATAAGGAGATAGGTGTTATGTATGGGGGTGTAGGAGATAAGTAGCAACAAGGAAAAGAAAGGCAAGGAGGCAGGGAATTTTGATGTGTATAGGAGACAAGTATTTCAGCTCCAAAGGACTGTAGACTTCATGAAGGGCAGTGTGAAGAACTAAAGCTGTTAGGAAGATTGGAGTCAATTTCTGGAAAGTTTAAATGTCAGATTAAGGACACTGGACAATAAGCAATGTGGAACCATTGAAAATTCCTGAGAGGAGTGTATGATCCGAGCCTTAGTCTAGGAAGGTTACTCTTGCAGCTGTATGGAAGGAAAAGGAGACTTAAGTAGGCTATTTTAATAGCATAGGCCAGAGAAAAAGAGAACTGTAACCTCATGCAAGGGCAGTGAAGATAAGAGGTTTGGGTTCATGAGATGTGGAGGAATAAGTTTCAATGTTTTGAGAAGCATTCCAAAACACTAAAGAGCTGAGGGCATATAACTGGAATTGGCAAGTAGTATACCAACAATCCAGGTTTAAAAGATAAGCCTCTCGTATGATGATAACAGGATGAAAAACACTAACATATTATGGATGAACAGAACTGTTTCAACTCATTGGAATTTGGAGAGTTCCTTTTCCAACACTGCTTAGTAAGGCACTGAAGCACATCAACAATATCAGAATAGGTGATGAAGCAGCATTTTCCAGGCTAATTATACTTCATACATATTCATAAACATCACCTCTGAGCTTCTGAGTCTACAGCACATGTGAAATATAAATGAGGTTCTTAGAGTTGCAAGACATTTTGCTTCTTGCTTTTTAGAAGTTATATTTTTATAAATAAGTTATTTTCTCTTTGTGTGTATGTATATACATATGTAAATATACTATATATAAATTAGATAAAGCCTTTATTATAATATATCACATAATACAGAATATTATATGTAGGCTGTTGTATGTTTTTATTAGTTAATAATCATTTATAGAAAATGTGAGATACTGTGTAAGACATCATTAGAGAAGAAAAGATACAGGAAAACACGAAACAAAGTCCATAAAGATTTAACAGAGGGCTTGGTACTTACTTGG